GGCGTCCCACGGTGCAGCGTGCTGGCGTGAGCGCACTGCGGCTGTGGGAGGGCAGGCACTGCTGTGCACTGAAGCCAGGTCCACAGAGGCCCCGCTCGGGCAGCTTGGCTCAGCAGCGGCACGGAGGTCATCCGCTCCCCCGTGGCAGACAAGGCCCGTGGGACTTGGGATCCCCAGGAGGCCGTGGCGGGTGCCCCCTGCCCCCCAGCCTCGTGGCGGGGCCTTCTGGCTCTTCATTCCCCTCCATCAGAGCCGGGATGTCTTCCGACGTACCGCCCATGTTTGGAGCTTTCTGTGAGGAGCCTGCCGATTCATCTTGTTTTAGATGGTCCTGGATTTCAGCGAAAGGTCAGCAGAGACCTGGGAGGGTCACTCAGCTTTCCGGTGGCCAGACGTCAGCCGTTACTCACCGCTTAGCGGGCTTGTTCTAGAGACGGCCTGGGAGCACATGGGCCCTGGCAGCATCTCAGCCGACTTGAAAGGGCTGCTTGTCACCAGGTGGACTTGGCCAAGGCCAACGGCCTGGTATCTGAGTGTCCAAGCAGAACACGCAGTTGCTTGCTAAGATTCTTCCCAGATTAATTGCATGCAAACTATACGAAGAGTGTCTCGCTTAATGAGGTCACGTAAGGTTAGGGTAAACACCCCCAGGCCTGTGTCAGGTGAGGGAATCTTCCTGCAAGCAGGACCTTTAATGCAGAAGCACCCTATGCTGGCTGGGGAACTTTCTTGGATGCAGGAAAGATGAAAGGACCAGTGAATTTCCCGCTGCCAGTGCAGAATTACCCAGCTGCCCATGAATTCTCTGTTCCCTCTGAGCTTAGCGCTGTTCCTCACTAGCTGGGACTTGGCTGTTGTAATGCAAAGTATTTTGGGATGGCTCAGTCCTGAATGGGCAACTAAGCGCCATTAACTTTGCAAAAGACCTGCTCCGGGTGGAAATAAAAACTGTCAGAACTGGTTTGCTGATATGGATCAACGCGGCTTCCTGAGTGTTTGTGCTTCTTCGGGAGGAGACTACCGGCACTGCCATCCTAAAAAGGATGTTTGAGGAGTTCTTTGCTGCTTACACAACAGGAAAGTACCCCCGTGCGAAACCCCGAGTGGGAGCACAAGCAAAAGCATGTGCGTGACAAATTTTTTGCAATTTTTCAAACAGGTGCCTGCATTCTTCTTGCTCCCAGGGCCCAATTTGATGGGTTGCAAATTTCTTTTTTCATGTGTGCAGCTTTCCTAATTTCGTCACTTAAATACACAGACCTGCCTCCCCCACTTTCTCTCTCACTCCACCCCTCAGATCCCAGTTTGGCCCAAGAGACTTAGTATCTGCTCTGATTAGACGACACCAACACATCTCCCAGGAGTTGAGCTTCACACATCCAGCCATCCAAGGATCGTGGCTCCAGCCCTTCTCCCTCCGCTGAGCCACCCGCTTGCTGAAGGATCCTGAGAGTCCACACTCCTTTTTTGGAGGGTTGGGGGTGGGAGATGAAACGGAAAGACTGAAAGCAGACTCCACTGTTCTTGTCCTCGGAGCCCAATTTCTGGAATGCCCTCAGGACAGCCAGGATACTGGAACCCTGGTTCCTAGGATGCCCCAGGGATGCTTCTAGCCACCTCACACTGGATCACTTGCAGGAAAGGAGGGAAAGGTAGCGGAAAGGAGGGGGAGGAGCACTCTAGGAACAGGCTCGATGGTCCCTGCTACAGCGAGATCCCATTCCTAGCACTTCCTAAAAAGCCGCCAGGAACATTCAGGTACTGCTTCCTGGGATGCTCTAGGAATGCAGCTCAGTGATGAGAAACACACAGACGTTCCTGAAATGCTTCTCCGCTCCTGCTTTTTTTTCCTGGGTGGCTACCACAGGGGCTGGGCTGGCTGCTGCGTTTGTGTTTCATAGGCTGCCTCTGTGGCTCTAGGGTAGACCTTTCTCCCTCTCAGACCATCTTGTGCTCCCTACTAGTTTACTGTACCCCAAAGAACACGGCGGATCTCACTCATCTCCCCTTTGCTGAACCCAACACCAGGCATCCCTGCCACCAACATGAGCCGCAAGAGAAACCAGGGTAACCAGGCTCAATTCCTCTTGCTGACAGTGACTCGAGTGGTAAATACAGGGAGTTGCATCTCTCCTTCCTTGCTTTCGGACAGACATGAACAGTGTATTTCCTAAAGTGACAGACAAGCTTCCTTTGCTATGATTTAAAAAAGACCTGCCGATTACACATAATCTTGGACTTTCATGGCTGGGTGGAATTCCCACCCTTATCGAGAGAAGTCTCAGCTCCCAGTTTCTTACGGCACTCAGAGTTTTAAAATCGCCGGTTCTTTCCATCTGACTTTACGAATACACCTGCAAGTTTTGGCAAATTCCTATTGAAAAGAACAAACAAAATTCTTACCCACCTGCACTTGAAAATTCAATTAGTGCAGCTATTCTCAGCCCGGAAAAAACAGATTGCATCTGCCTGCCATGAAGCTGTTGAAGCAGGGGAGCTTGTCAGGGGGAAAAGATGGTGACTCTGTCTGCACAGCAGCACAAACATGGTTGAAAACATGGGATTCAAGGCCAGGCTTCTAAAGACCTGCTCATTTAAAACCCTCTGCGTGGACTGCCAATCTGCCAGTTTTGGTTTCCCTCACATTCACTTAAAAATCCATCCCATTTTTTTAAGAATTTTGAGAACTTTGGCAAGTTCTACATATAAAATAAAATCAATCGCCTGCACAAAAGAGTCAATCAATACCCTTTCTGGGATGGACAATTTATTTAAAACAGTAATAGACCTCCTTTAGCAATGATCTAGAGGTGGGCTGCAACTTATTAAAACCAGTCAAGAGCGAAGAAGAGCAAAGGCATCGTTGGCCAAGCGTCCCCCGCAGAAACATGGGAGCGGCGGTGCAGGCAATTTTGATCTAGATGGGGCGTTCCCATCCCTTCCCCTCTTCTCTGGGTGAACCTTCAAGGGACCCCATTCAGTCGCGGACTGTACTGTTCCTAGCGATTTGGTCGGAAGCCGTTCCCTGAATCGAGACCCAGTAGGTTCCATTAGGCATCAAGAGTATGTGATGCCCAGGGGAGCTTTGGCGCACCCGTAGCTAGTTTCCCAGAATTAATCTTTATCACTCCGCTTCTTACACGCAGACCTTTCAGAAAAAGATCATCACAAAAAGGGAGAACATATTCCATATTGTACGGTTCTCTCACTTGGGGATTTCTCAGTAAAAACAAACGAGCAAACCCGGATACTCCGAAACGCCCATCCTGCCGTACCCTGGACCACAAAGTCTCCCGCTGGCATCATCCAGCACTACTCCTGAGTGGGGTGGTGCGGCTTGGTGTCCCGCAACAGCAGGGGGTGGCCCCGATGGCCTTCTGGGCCCCTTCCAACCCGACTCTTCTAGGATTCTGCGATGCTTGTTCTCGCAATGTCTGCTCGTGGCCGGAGCAGCTGCATTCTCGCAACCATCGCTCTGCTGTCGCCTCACAATTTCCCAGCATGATCAGAGTCAGTCCAGCACTGGGGGCTGGTGCCACTGGGGCTGGTGGAGCAGAGGGAGGCAGCTGATGGTGGGGAGGGGGCAGCAGCTCCTTGCACAACAATTGTGTGAGAAAGGAAACCTGCACACAAGCACACCGGGGCAAATTAACGGAGCTCCCGCCTGCAAAGCAGAGAGAGGGAGGTCACACGGCAACACTCAAAAGTGGCGCCTGAAGCCACAGAAGAGGCAAAGCATCACCCGGAAGACGGGAATGGAGGCGAGTCGGAATAGCAGGGCGGGAGGTGGAAGGAGCCGGGAAAAACAGCCAAGTGCTGGGTGCTACCTGGGCGGCCGCCCTGCCTTCACTTCTACAGCTCCAGGAGCCATGCGAAAGAGCAGGAGAACAGACAAGGAACAGCAAGAGGGCAAAACAGGCAGACGGGCTGGGGGGGCCACGGGGAACTTCTCCCACCTACCACACAGCTATTGCTTACGTGTCGCAGGTCTCCACAAAGGGCTCCCATGATCCCTCACACACACATGCGATTCCGGCACACACCCTTGCAACTTTTCAAGGAAACAACCCAAAATCCAGTGGCTGGTGCTCTCTTCCCTCCAGTCTCCGTCCAGGGCCCAGCAGGGGAAACGCATGTTTAAAAACCAAGTGCACCTCTTGGGTACGGGAGGCCCATGGGCTGCCCAGTTCACCAACAAAGACCAGGGTCCTGGTTGGCTCTGGAAGAGCCAATCAGGGCCATGTTTGGAAATCTAGCAGGGTGCCTGCCTGCCTGCTGATCACCTATGGAAATTAATTAGTGACTGTTAATGCCTCAGCCCAAAGATGGAGGAGGCAAACCGAGCAAGCAGGCAGGCAGGCCAGCTCCCACGAGCTCACCCGGCCCCACCTGAGCCTCTCCTAGCCACCACGTCAGGAGCAGCCTGCACGGGAACTGAGTAACTTACTCTCTTGATGGGGAGGGAGTGCTGGATGGCAGTCCTCCACCCCGACCAAAGAGAGAGAATCCCAGCATCCTCCAATGCACTGCACATGCCCAAGTTCAGGAAAGAAACATTTGCACAACATTCAGACTACCAAGTCGATGGTGCAGCACCACGGAGTGGGAGAACACCCCCACTGAACACTGCTGCCACCTGGAAATCACAACACCCTGGATGCAGTTCGCTCACGAACGTTAAGACGCGCGTCCAACAACTGGGGCCACCAGAGAAGATGAGCTGAGATTTAAAAGAAAGAAGCGAAAGAGGCCTAGGAAATGGGCCGAGACAAGTGACGAATTCCCCCAGCGGCCGCCCTCTGAAGGAAAGCCCGCACAGCTCACGACACGTTATCCCGGCCCCTGTGAATTCCGGCACACCGTCCTCCTGGCCCTGGATCCAGTTCCTCCACAGCCAGGCCTCCGACATCCGGAGAGCCCCTGCTTCAGACCACCGGCCCCCCCACCCGCAACCCCGGGCGGCCTGCACGCTCCCCGCCCGCGTCTGGAGCAGCACTTACTTCGCGGAGCTCCTTGGCCACCTCCTTGAGCTCCTGCAGGATGCCTTCCAGCTGCCCGATCACCGTCTTCATACGCCCCCGGATGCGCTCGCGCTCGCCGCTGCCGTGGCCGCAGGTGGAAGCGTTGTCCGTGGGCTGCCTATCCCGCGAGCCCCGGGTGCTCATCCTTCACACGGTGCCAGGGCGCTGGGGCAGAGTGCCGCTTCGCATTCTGCTTCCGCCCAGCCAGACTGTGCCTCCACGGAGCCCCTCTCGGCTGGGGAGATCTCCACATCTTAACACCCCCCGCCCCAGGAAGTCCCAGCCACGCGCTCACCTGCCCCCCTTTGACCTCCCCGCCCTAGCTGGAGGACGGCAACCAAGCAGGAGCAGAATCAAGAAAGGGACGGCTCCACCACACACGCCGGTTCCCACCGGAGCACAGAACGCCACGTGGGGAGGAAGCAGCCGGGAGGACCCCGTGGCGGTGAAGCTGCTTGGGAGAAGTTGCCATGAACAAGCCACCGAAGAATCCAGGCCTCCCGCTCGCTCGGCTCCGCCGGCTCCGGAACGCCAGCATCTAGATAAAGTGCAGAACGGCGCTGTGGCTCGGCCACCGAGCGGGCATCGCCACCAGCTCCTGCGCCGCGGTCCTTTGGGAGCTTCTCCGGGGACGGCGCCTCGTCCCTCTTCCTCACGGCTCTCTCCACCCCTCGTCCGCAGAAGGGTCCCCCTCGGGACAGGAGAGCTTTGGCATGGCTGCCTTTGGTATTGCCTGGCACGCGTCGCGGGGCTCTGGAAGACTTCCGGCCTGAGTGAGGTTTGGAGGTTTCTGGTCAGGGTGCAGGGGGGACTCTTGCAAACGACAAGCGTGGTTGTCAGCATAAAAAGGGGGCATCCGCAAGATGCTGGAAGCACGGAGGATCCCACACCATGTCCTGCAGGCAGAGCAAGGGACGGGGGAGGAGGAAGGGGAGGAAAAATAAACCAACAAAAGGCGTCAGAATTTCTGGGGTGGTTGTACAGACAGTGCCATGAATGCTAAGCTCTGAACTCCAACTTGACCGGGGCTTTCTTGCGGAGCCTTTCCAGGCTCCTGGAAAGCTGCTTTCTCCAGCAAAAGCCACTGGGGAAGGTGCTGCTTTCATTCCAAAGGGTGGATCACTGGCGCTCTCGGAGACAAGCCCTTCTCTTGTCCCACAAACTCCATCACTTTCCAAACTGGGCTGGATTGCCCCCCAGAGGAACAGTCATCCAAGCAAGAAGGGCCTCTGATGGTGAAACAACTGCACCAGCATATGACAACTCCCCCCTTCCCTCCCTCCCTCCCTCCCTCCCTCCCTCACACACACACACACACAGAGACGAAGCGAACGCGTAATATGCTGACTTTTGGCACACCTATCCATGCAGGTTCGGACCTCCCCCCCCCCTCTTTCCGGGCTCCTGGGGCGCAGGGCCCACGCAGCCTGGGCAGGGCAGAAAAGGGGCCAAACTCAACCTCCGCAAGAGAGAAGGGCTGCTCAGGTTCCGTCCCCCAGTCATGCAACCCTTATTGCCGTCTCCTCGGACTGAAGCCCCGTTGTTCACAGCGCAACTTACTCTGAGGTAAGCGTGCATGGATGCCTCCCCCACCTGGGCATGCTTGTTTGTGCCGGACTGCTCATTGCCCATGCTGGCCGGATCGGATGGGAATTGTAGTCCAACACATGGAGAGGAAAAGGTTGGGGAAAGCTGCCGTGTAGGGCTGCAGCTGAAGAAAACTTAACAGGCCGACTTACTCACAAGGTAACCCTTTTGGAACCCTGTGGGACTGTCTTGCTCCAACCAGAGCCGTGTCTTCCCTTCCTCCTCCGGATGTTACAGGCAGATTTTGGATCCTCTTCCTTCTCTCCAAGGCTGGGTGAAGCTGTACATTGGTGTCGAGCCATCAGATACATCCAATTTTTAAAGCACAATCATAATGCAATCCAAGGTACGGTCCCATCCCTGCTCAGGTTAACTCTTCAGTGGCACCACGGTGGTTGCCCTTCTGGCTTCCTTCAAGTATGGAGGAGAGAAGAGGAAACTGTGCCCACTCCCTGCTAGGAGAGAGAAAGCGCCCCCCCCCCCCGCCTGCAACCAGCTAGCCAACCAGCTGGGGAGATTAATTAATTCAGTTCAGAAGCTCTGGCTTTGCAGCCTTTCCATCCGCAGCGCAGAAGGACGCATCTCCACTGGCCCGCGGGCCCCGCTGCCCAGTCCACAGGTGACATGGCCCCAGCTTGGGAGATCTTTGGAAAGAGGCGGGGAAGGCGGGAGGGGGAAAGGCAGACCGTGTCCTTCTCCCCACATCGTCTGCCTAACGCGCAGGATGTCGCTAGGTCGGCATCTCACCGGCAGCCTGGAGCGCTTTAGCTGGGCAAAGGAGGAGGAGGGGAGCGAGGGGCGGCTCTTCCCGGCCGGGCCGGCGGCCTCTGCCAGCCCCACCAGCAGCTGATCTCGGATGCAGCTCACATCCTGGCGGAGCCCCCTGAGCTGGGCGGGGACGGGGGACGGCGCGGGGCGGCCGGCGGCGGGGAGCACGCGTCCCCGCAAGGCGCTCCGGGCGCCCGCCGCTCCATCGGGGGGAAGAGCGGCGCAGGCACGGCGCCCTCGCCCCTCGCAACTCCGGGCGCGGGCGGGAGCGCGTGCTTCTGAGCGTGCTGCGCGGCGAGGAGGGGCGCGGGGGCGCGCGGCGCGGCGCGGGCGCGCGCGGCGCTGCCACCGAGCGCGCGAGCGAGCGAGCGGTCCTGGTCCGGGTCTCCTCCGCTGGCGAGCGGCGGGGAAGTGCGCCGGTCCCCCCGGCAGCTTGCTCGTCTGCCAGCTCGGAGGCGATTGCTCAGCGGAGGGATGCGTGGCTTGCGCTGTCTCAGAAACGGGGCGGGCTTCCCCGGAACGGGCGCACTTAAAGGAGCAGCCGCGCGGGCGCCCGGGCGGCTGCGCAGCTGTGCGTAAAACCGCGGAGAGGGTCTCGGCACGGCGATGTCGAGTTGCCGGTGCTGCTGCGGAAACACAACTCTGCAGGCAAGAACTTTGGCAAGGGCGAGTGGGTTCGGCAGGGATTGCAGGATCCGTCGGCTCGGAGACTTCCGCGTCGGATTGTATTTTTCACCGTGTTGGTGGAGCAACTTGGCAACTTGGCTCTTTTTGCAGCCCAGTCCGTCTCGTTATAAAATGAGACGCTCGCCCGCCCGCACTGGGCCAGTTCAGTAAGTGCTTTGCAAAGATCACGTGGTGCCTGCATGCCGTGTGGCTCTGAAAGGTGAGGCGCACCTTACAGAACGAGGGGGCGACCCTGATTCAACAGCAGCACCACTGAATGCGCAGGACCAAGTCCAGACTTTGTAATCTGGGTTCACCAACAGGGGCCTGGACAGACGAGGTCGCCTGCGTCGCGTCCACCCACTCCCCCACCCCCACACCACTCCCCGTGGTCTTAGGTACGGTGGAATATGAGAATTCTGGTAAATTCTAATGAAAAATAAATTCCAATAAAATTCTCACCCATTTCTACTCTCCATTGTTGTTTTTTATATTCTGCCAAAGCGACTGAGATGCAGGGCGACCCCACCCATGAAAGCTCCTCCAAGTGGCCTTCCTTGGCTCTTGTTCATTCCAGGCTGTCCTGATGGACTTAGGGAGTCCAACCATCTCCTCCTCCTCCTCCTCCTCCTCCTGCTGTTGCTTTCGTGGCCTGACGGTCTTCTACAAGGAGTTCTCCCTTTTCACAATGGGCCCAAAGTAGCATCACCTCAGCACTGCCATTTGCCTCCAGAGAAAGCGCAGGCTTGGTTTCTATTCTCTATTTCATATTAAAAGTGTGCACAGATTATTGGGGTGCAAAGTCAGCTTTGCTACACTAGAAAGGTGCTGGCCTGCAGCCAGAAGGTGGACCACATGTGGCGGTAGAGAAGGGAGTGGGGCTCAGTGGTCTTCTAGACTCCTTCCAGCCCAGCTCAGCCCGTCCTCTTTGCACTGCAAATCACACCACCCTTGACATAAGCTGAGTTGGAAATAACCCAACTGCTGCTGGGGAGAAATACCGACACCACTAACTGCTGAAGGATTTCCTCTGTTCTGCTCACCCAGTGCCCGTCCATGTTATTTATCAATCCTCTGCCAACCCCCATCCTAAAATATAATCCAACAAGCATTACCTGCAACCCTGGAAAACCACAGAGTCACTTGCATGAGGTTCTTTCATGTTTAATATCCTCTAGACATGATGTGAAGTTCTCAGAGTTATACTGACTTCCCCCTGTACACACATCACTGTCTTTTCAGCTCATGCATATAAATGACCCGGGCAGAGGAGAATTATCCACAGCAATGGAGAAATGACTCCCGTTTTGGTGCGGAGCTCTTTCACATGCATTTCGTCATAGATCTGCCTTGCCCGATTTCTGTGAATTAAGGAAAACACATAAACACAGTGGCATTCATATGCAATTTCCTTAATATATTTTAGGCATATTTCCTTCATATCTGCATTTCTGTATAAAATATTTCAGATGAGGACTGCAGTGTAACATGCTGAGAAACGTGCAATCAAATCCATGTTAGTTCAGAAATTGTGTAAGAGGTCAGACTCCTTCAAACTGCAGACCAAAAGAAATTCTTGCCAGTCAGGCACAGAAATGGTCCCGTGATGCCAAAGGGATTAGTCTGCAAGGTGCAAGGGTCAGCTTCTGCAAGGACCCTTGATTTTGAACTGTTGATCATTGTTCTCAGAACTGAAGGTGATTATTTCTTTCCTGCAGATCTTTAATGTTAGCGAACACCTCACCAGCCAGATAAGCGAATCAACACCACAAGAAGCACTGCCTTCTAACAATGTGGGTACTGGAGATGGGTCTTGGCCAGAACCCTTGACGTATGGACAGAGGTGTGAAAAGTTTGTTCCCCTTCTAATATTCGTCTGTGCTGCAGGGGATGAAAAACCAGGCCAGGTCTAGTTTCAAGGAACTGTGCAAAAAATGAGGGCAGTTAATCTAATATTTATGTGGATTCAGTTCATCTTCCAAAATGAAAAGCAAGAACAAACAAGCAAAGATGCTTAATACAGAAGTCTTTAAGTCTTTAATTTAAGCCTTTATTATTCTGTGGGGTAGGCTTTAGTTCCAGAACTGGTGCTTAGGAAGCACCGATCACTCGGAATTGCTGTG